CTGCCTCATTCACTGGCAGAAAGAATGACTCATACATCTTCTGCCTTGTTTGGCTGCAGGTCATTGTTACAGTGGATAGAGCTGGTTTTAATTAAATATCAACTCCTTTTGTATGGGTTGGTGCCTAGTTTTCCGTCTTCTTTCTCCCCACACTCCCCACCCAAAGCGCACATACTTGGTTTTTGCATGTTTGCCAGAGAAGAAAGTAAATTGATCCGCAGTTTATAGCTCTTATTTTCCAGCCTACTACTGGCTTGCTTGATACATTAAATGCTAGTGTATTTCTTCCCTCTCAAGCAACATGTTCACTTCTCTTCCTTTCAGTATTTAAGATGGATCTGAAGCATTAACTTAAAATACCAAAAGCTCAAATGGCATGATCCTCTGAACACCCCTCAGCTGCATGAGAGTCACATGCATCTTGCTTCTGCGTAAACACACATAGGATTGGGATGGAATGAGCTCATCTTTTAAAGACTAAGCAAGTGATTTCAGGAAGTGTAAAATCCAAGCTGGGATCTTCTTGTAAGGATAATACTTAACCCTTCCTAGCCTTTTACTTCTATCTATGGTGGAGATGGTGAGAAAATAGATGAGGATGGGATGGGGTGGGTAAAGGAGAAACATTTGGGCATAGTCTGGCTTGGCAAAAGCCTGGTGTTTCTCAGGGAAGGGTTGGAGACTTTGGGGCAACTTGTCTATGAATGCAGAAGAAGCCTGATTGATAGAGGTGTCCCCAATATTGCCAATGTTACCATATGTTTATGCTCCTTAAACTGCCTGCTTTATCCCTCCTGCCCCCAGTGTCATTAAATAATGTGGAGAAATATTTTATTATTTATTCATTCGTTTGTTCAGCTTGTGAGTCTTCCTATAGCCAAAGCTCTCAGAAGAAAATACATAGTAAAAACTGGTACAATAAAGCCATTCCAGAGTCTCAGTTTTTAAGGTGACTATTTCAGATATTTAAGGGTCTCCCTCGCCGCATCATAGGCACACATAATCATCTGTGTTTAGTGAACATTTCTGTTGACATGGCCCCTTTTCCTATCCCTACTGTCACCATATTCAAAACTGCTGTAGATTTTATGACAGCTTTGCAGAATTGCAGCATTGACAATGACAAGAAAAAGAGGAAATGAATGGTATATAAATGTGCCTACAGTTACAAGCACTCCAAAGTCATATTTTTTGTTTCAGGCATCCAAGTTTTAGTTCTGGTTAACTGCCTGGTTGCTGGTCTGACTTGTAAGTCCTTCAAAGGTTGGATACAGATGTTTTGGGGCAGTGGGTGGAAAGCTTCCCTGTCAAGTTTACATTAATGCAGCTAACAAGTTTTTTTTAAAAATAGTTTTAAGGAATTGTATGGGGTGCAGGGGGGAATGGTTGTACCTAAGTGTCAGAATTTTGTTTGCCAGTGAGCTTTAAAGATGAGCATGCGCTACTAATTTTGATGTCTGTTTTATATTTCATCAATAGCTCCCTTATTTGTAATGCTTAAGGACAGGTATGAGTATTTACTATATTCTTTATTGTGGTATTGAATACATGTCCAGGGGAAGAGGCTGTATCCTGGAAGTATACAATGACAGAACAGGTTCTCAATTGCATTTTAATTTACTCTAAAAGGGAAAGTACTGCAAGACTTCAAACTGTTTTTCCGCAGAGTTTGTAAATTGCTCTATGTAATAAACTCTATGTTCTCTTTTTAAAAAAGAGCATCTGTCAGTCTCGTACTATATTTATACATTGGTGTATACTCATTTTCCTCCTCATATTAAAAAAAAAAATCTGTGAAAAGCAGCAGTGCCTGCCCCTTCATTGCAAATCTGGCTTCATGACATTGAAGTCGGTGAATTCATGCAGATGTTAAATCTAGTGATAAAAATGAGTGCTAATAGAGGATTTATGCTGTATATTTTCTGTCTTTGGAAGGAAAAGAAGAAGCTTTGTGCTAACATTTTGTAATGCGACTAAAATATCTTCTACTGGTGTATTGTACTGCAATGTTCAACTTCGATGTTGAGGATGATGATGATGAGCAGATGTAAGTTATGGAGCAGGCTGTGGTTGCCAGTCATTGCTACAGACATTTGCAATTACAGAAGGGTGTGTTTCAGAAGTGAGTCTACTGGTTTACACAACTGGGTTTTTTAGTTTCAGAAAGCTGCTGTATTAATATTTTTTACTAGCTGTTGAGTCCCTGTGTCATCTTAAGTATATTCCTTAATTTCAATGTGATGAGACTAAAGTTGCGGGTGTCATGCTAGACCACATTCTACAAGTCACGATAGTGATCAGTAAACTTGCTTAACCCGATACAAGTTTTTGAGAATGATTTGTGCAGTTCTAAGATTTAGCCTATTTCATTGATACCTCAGTGTGCTCCTCCATTCCTTTACCCAAGTATACAATATAGGGGAAAAAAATCTGTATCTTATCTGCTGATAAGAATAAAAGAACTTCTGGAACACTCCAGCTAAGTTTGCTTTCTCTCTTAGGTTTTGAACCAGAAGAATGCAGGGACTAAATGCTGGGATTTGATGTGGAAAATCCAGGTTCAAATTTCCCCTCAGTTTGATTGTCGCTTTCTCTCAACCTAAAATCAATCTCACAGTGTTGTGGTGAGGCTAAAACACTGTTCTGAGTTCTTTGAAGGGAAATCAGGATATATTCTTTCAATGCTAAGGGTATTGTGGTTGATTTTGATGAGGAAAAAGAATTAATTAATCTTAGGTACTATTGCAATTAAAATCAGTTTAAAATATAAAATGTGCAACATTGGAGTGGAAATGAATTCCTCAGTGGAATCTATGGTCTGTTTGAACTGCAGACCCAGTGCTTAATGTACAGGTGCATGAACACAGTCATGCTCCTCACTGAGCACTACGAAGCCATGTGGAATCCAAACAGTTAATGGTAATTGCAGAAGCATCCTAATGTGTGTGTTCTGACAACTTTTCTCTTCACATGTAAATAGCAAATGGTCATGTAGCTATACTGTAGCTACACACATACCGACTGTCTCTCTCATGGACTTGTCCTCTTGGATACTTGAGGCTGCTTTTGCCTCAAATATGATTGGAGTCTAATTAATACGTTCATTAATCATAGCATGAGCAAGTGGTGGTGATGATATAATCTGGAAACTCAGGGCCAGATCCAGGCAATGCTGAAACTTATCCCATGAGCCACTGGAGCTTTCAACGTGGTACGTTCTCAGACAGTCACCCCTTACTCAGTTCTTGGGAGTGAGGGAATCAGACGGAGCTTATATTCATAGAATAGGGCCTGATTGTGCAAATGAAACTGGGCTAACGTGAGTCCTCTTCGTGAGTGTTCGAACTGTAGCTTCATTAAATAACTTTTTTTTTTTCACTTGGCTGCATGGACTCCGTAACACTCTGTTCTCCTTCTTGAGTCATGTACCTGATTATGCATTAAACTTAAGAGCTGTGCATACACGTGTGTTTTGCATCAGCAAAGTCCTTAATGATGCTAAGATGGAAAGCCTGTTTACAAGTACCCTAATGCTGTGTTGATTCATTAGTACTGTAATAGTGTGCTAGTGTGTTTATATTCCTCCTAATGCACTCTGTCTGTGTGTGCATGTATAAAACACACAAACACAAACACAGAGGGAAACTAGTGTCAGCTCTTACTGCTTTGCATGCTAGTGGGGAGAATTAGGGTCTATGATGGTATCTCTTTTAAATATAGCTAATATTGATTTTAGGTTAATATTAACTAAGGAGAGTCTCTGTGCCCATAACTGAGCTAAATTACCTGCAAGTATTTTATTAAGTTACCCCAGCAGTGCCTTGATCATGAGAGAAAACCCATACTAACATGCATGTTCAATTGACCAGTAAAATCTTTGAGAGAATATTCTAGATGAAATACTGAAATAAAAACTACATATTTATAAATAAACATATGTGATTGGCCTGCACAGCTGTAAATCTAAATGCATTTATTAGAAAATAGCTATCATTGTACGCAGCAGGTCTTACATCTGAGTAAGCAAGCATAAAGTGAAGTCCTTAACTTCATGCCGCTCCTTCAGAGTTTGGAGAAGCAAGATTCTGCACTTATTAGCTTCCTTTTCAGATGACTTTTTAGCCACATTGGCGGATGCATAGTGAATCCTTGTTAATCCTAGCACTGCTTATGCATCGTTGTAGAAACGTCCTTAATCTCTAATCTAAATTGTCAATGTTTAAAAGACCTTTCCATTTTAGAGACAAGTAGCCAAGTTCCCATCTGTGCGAAAAATAAATAAATACATACATGCATCCATAAAAAAAAAAAAAACCTTGGAGCTACTTTTAAATGTGCAGCCTGTTGCTCTTGGTGCCTTGGCCAGTTCTTGGTGAAACAACATTTTACAACAAATATTGTACAATGCATAATTAACATAAGTTTAGCTGGATCGTAGAATTGACAAGGAAATGCATCTTTGTTTAGTATCTTGTATTAGTATCTTACTTGTCCAGCCCAGTCACCTTAGCTTTGCACTTTTCCATAAAATGCTACAAATTGTTCCAGACCTGGACCTGTTTCATGTACTTCTGTATACTAGCCCTTGGTTGCTTTTCCCAGTGGTATTGGCTTAATTTGTTGTTACACAGTTGCAGATTTACCTCTAAAGTGTTGGTAGATATAAGCACAAATCCAATACGGACAACTTCTGCTTCTCTCTAGTTTTAACGTGAGTGGAATTGAGTTAGCTCATCATCTTATTTCTTTAAATACATACTGTACTGATATTTTCCCAATATTATGGGAGACTGTGGTAGCAATTGTTCCTAATTGTGTGCAGAATTTTCAAATACATCTTCATATCTGGTTGGTTCTTGTGCCTAATTTGAATTCTTATTTTGTGCTAGTCCTTTTCATGATTTGGCTTCAGCAAGTCCTAAGAGTTGGGATCAGTTTTATGTTTCAGTGGTTTATCTGTGTTAACTCCTTTTTTCTGTTTTTTCCTTCCCTCTCTTCAGCTCAGGTACCTGACAATGACGAGCAATTTGTACCAGATTACCAGGCGGAGAGTTGTAAGTATAGTATGGTTCATCATTTTTTGTTAGTCTTTTCTTTTCTTTTCTTTTCTTTTCTTTTCTTTTCTTTTCTTTTCTTTTCAAGCAAGGTGTTTTCAGTGTCTACCTTTGCTCAGTCGCTGGTCACACGGTAGTTGTGATTGCCATGAAATAACATGAAGTAAGTAATCACTGAATTGCAGCAAAAAAGTAGCTTGATTAAAGCTGGTAATTTCATCTTTGCTTTGTTTGTGTAGGATTTGATGGTGAATTTTTTTTAAGGGAGTGGACAAAACAATACATTCGTCTTCTAAATAATAACAGCAGCAACATAATTTGAGAGCTTGTCCTTACTTTCGAGCTCAGGGATTCTGAAACATCTTACTCACAGGGTCTGCTTGAGGGCTGAAACTTAACTGTGGGCTGCCAGTCACAAAGTAGGCAAAAGCAGACGATGTTGGCATTGGGTGTGGATATACTGTGACACATTCTTTGCAGTTTTGGCAAAAGTGAGACTCTACATTGAAAAAAAAAAAATTGTCCATTACCCACCATGTGCTTCCCAAGGGATGTCATCACCTGTCATACCTTTTCCTTTCATGCTTAGCCTGTACTCTGTTTTTATCTCCAAACTGGATTTTTTTGCATCCTACTTACTCTTCAACCATTTGCTTCTTTCTCCTGTAAGAATTACCCACAGTTATCCCTCAATTCTACTTCCATTATCATCATGAATAATAAAAACAGCAATAACAATGCAACATTTTATCTTTTGCTTCAACAGCCACTATGGCTCTTTCCCCTCAGGGAAGCAAGGAGAAAGATCCATAGGATTAAGTTTCCTACCAAGCTTAATATCCTGGCCACCTTTAATCTGGGGTATGTGTACATGTTAAGCAAAGATGCAGCTTTTGCTTTTCTCCTTCCTTGCTTCTATGTCCCTTTCCCCCCCTCTTTTTCTTTCTGTTTCTTCCTTATGTCTCAGCAAGCCAGCCACTCTCTCCTACATGAACCTTTCCTTCCTTCCTTCCTTTCTCCTCTAACATTACATAGAATTGTAGAATCATAAACGTGCCACGGCCTTGCCTGTGCTTGGTGCTGACATCAGTCCAACCAAAAGCCTACCACATGGCAGGACATGCAAATTAGAAGGCACTGGGTGGGTTAGGATGCTGAAGCTCACCTGAGAGTCACCTGGGGCTCATCTGTGTCCCCAACCCTCAGGTTGGGAAATGCTGTCCTGAGAAACACTGCTCTAGGGCCAGCATAAAATATCGTTGCATCTTGTTGCTCCAGCATTTAGGAGTTGGCTTTTTCTCCCATATCCGGGTATCAGCTGTCACGATCATGAATGCGGTTTTATCAGTTCCCTTGAAAAGCCTCTGTGCAGTGCAGAAACAGAACACATGGGCTACAGGGGAAAGATTGGGGGACTTTGTGGTCCCAAGGACAGCATTTTAGGAACTGTAAAGGTAAAACTGGGCCTTTTGTGAGATTTCTTCATCCACAGTAACCTCAACTACAAAAATCCTAAATGCAATTGACCTGCAGAATGTAATTACTTTTAAACAGGTATTCTAATCACTTGGCAAGATTAATATGCAATTCAGTTCTAAAACAGGATCTTTACTTGAGCATCTTTGGGTGATTTAATGACGTTCCAATTCATTAATAACACCCATTCATTTGATCTAGCTCGGTGATGAATTTCAGACAACACGTCATGGGTCATCATGAATTATCTAACCCTCCCTAAGCTGCAGGAAGTGTGGGCACCCCAGGGAATATGCAAGCCTGGTTCGGGAGTTGATGTGTCATGCAGACCCAACAGGGCGAGTTATGCAAAGGTTCAACAATCATCACAGATGGCCAAAACTGGTCCAAATGGTTGCTGCACGCAGGATGCAGCTTTACTGACCTTCCCTGTTGTTTGCCAATAGTGCACTGCTGCACAAGAGAAACAACCGAGCTTAAAATAGTAAGGTGCAGAGTAATAACTGCGATCATGGTATGAATCAACTGAACTGAATCAGTTGTTTGAACTGATTCATAAGGACCGATTGCTGTCCAGTGCTCACCTGTGATAATGTCTCAGTCATCACACCCAACACTTTCTCTCAGTCGAGAAAAGGAAGCAGCAAAGGGCTTCTGTCAAGCTAGCAAACTATGCTTGGTGTTCTTGGCTGTGCTTGAATCCCTGAATTTTTTTTGATCTCTGTGCAAGCCACACACAGGTTCTTCTTGGATCTCTCTGTCTGCCTGTTTCCTGCCTGAACATTCTGGGTTTTGACAGGATTCAGACTCACTATTTAGGCCCTGATCCAGCTGTGCTGCATATATTATAGTGAGTCCTTCACCCAAGCGTTAACAGAATCACAGAATATTTGAAGGAATTATATTAAGCACCCGAAGTGCTAACTATATTCCTTCAGAAGGTCTGTGTGGTTGCTAGGACAAGCACGAGTGAGCCCTGATGGTAGAACTTGTACTGATGGTGCATCTGCCATGTGCTTTCTTTGACTGTGTTCAGGCAGCTATTTTATTTAAAGTTAGGAGTTTGATCTTTGACCAGATAAAATGATTGTTTCCAAAATAAGTCGCTGGCCATTGACTTTTGCAGCACAGAGGTTTGCATAGCTTTCAACTTGGTGAAGTCAGAAGGTTGGTTCCTAGATGGTTCTCTCTCCTGTAAAGTGTCAGATAAGCTATATGTGTTGATCCATTTGCTTGCTCGCTCTCACCTACCCCAACCTGGAGTCCTCCAGATTTTTGGTCTACAACTTCCAGTATTTGTTTTGGCCATGCTGGGAAAGGCTGTACTATAGGCAACAGTGAATGTGAAAATGCAGTGCCAATTGTGTGGCTAAAAAGAGATGCATGGTCATCTCATACATACAATTCAGCTGACAGAGTATGCCATGATGCTTCATGCCTGCCCAAGCATTGTTGAGAACGTCTGTTAGCATGTCTGTTTCTTGCCTCCCTAATCTCCCGAGGCCATTGGCCAGACTTGTCACAAATTTTATTTCAGGAGTAAGCCTAGCTTTCATGACTGACTTTTATGGTAGAAGAGAAGTCACTGGTGACTCTCCGCACTTCCCTCACCACACTTGGAGTGATAAAGGATTCTGTGAAAATAGCCTCTTCCAGTAAATTCAGAAATTACAACATACTGAAAATAACTACAAATAGGCCATTCAGTATATGGTAATGTGGTATTTTACCAAGGACCCATGTGTGAGCCTCACAAGATAATTTTATCACATAAAAAATTAGCCTTGTACATCAAAGGCTGCAATTGTTCTTTGAAAATGGCCCCTGTTTTCTCCAAAACAAGCTACAAAACTCAGTGGTCCATAATTCTGCTGAACATATGGGGTTATATATAGGTTTCAGTCCACTGAAATCAATGGAACTTTAGTCATGACTTTTCTATCCCATCGATTTCTGTCAGTTTACTTTAGGTATGACATAAGTCTAACTCCTTCTTTCTTCTCAGGTTCTTTCTGTTAATATCCTTCACTGATTATACATTGAAAGTTTCCTCAGACATACTTCAGGGAATTTTCCTTGCTGCAGACATGACAATTTCAGTCAGTTAATCTGATTTCGTTCTCAAAATTGACTTTCTTGGCAACCTTTCCCTATTTCATCAGACTGGTATGACTAATTTTTCACTTGCTTAAATAAGTTATTGATTGAAATAACTGTAACCTTTAAAATAAAGTACCTGTTAATTTTAACATTAAGGTGCACTGAAAATTATGTTAACAAAGTAAAACAGGTTTTACCTATTCATGTGAGAAGGGTAAATAATTGACTCCAGGCCTTTTGTAAAACAGTGTGACAGAAGAGCATAAGAGGAACCATACTGGAGCATTCCATCCTTACAGTGGCCAATCTGATGCCAATGGAAAAACCAAAAGCGTGAACACTGGGTACATGTACTCTACCATTGGGTCATGGTCCCAATATTTATGCATAAAATGAAACATATTTTTATTAGCTTGAAAGAGAGTTTAGGCAAAACTATTCACTCCCTTCTATTTTGACACTATGGCCCTATGTAGGGATGTTCAAGATTCAGGAGCAGTGAAGGCACTACATTCAATGTCTCTACTGAATACTCATGCAACTTTGGCTATATCCCAGTTCTTTCTCTAGGAGTGCAAAATTCTGCCAATATAGTAGGTACTTGTCACTGGGGAATTTCTAGTGCTTTCAATCAAAATGAGCTGTTCAACCTGGTCTTCATTATTGGATTACCTGCAGTAAGGAAAAAGATGGATGTAGTAGTCACAAAAGGTGGGAATGTTCCAAATGGAAGAGGACATTGTCCGGATTCCTGGAAAGTTCTACACTGACGAATACAAGGCAGGGCAGTTGCGCAATAAAAGCATCATCTGGCAGCATTATCTGTTTCCCCAGTTATTGTTACAAAATCAGTCAATGATTCCTAGAGATGGGCTAAGAATGAAAGTGCTGTGAATGAAAAATCCTGTCAAAGATTGTCAAGGGTTCTTGAGTAAATGTTTCCCTTGAACATTAATCTCCTGGCATAGTTAGAGGCACCCTTTGTGGATAGATAAGCTTTTGTGTGTGCGCCACTGGATGGGGAGCCACATGCGTGAATGGGTTAGGGTTACGTGCACTTGCTGGGGCTGCATCTGTGGAGACCTTTCCAAAAGGTTACAGTTCCATTGATCCTGTGTTTCATGGGGCTTATAGATTTGACTTTAGACCCCCACTTCCCAGACAAATGACAGATTTGGTGGGCTTTTGACTGTTTAGAAAGGGCTGCATGGACATAGTTTTTGCCACTCAGCTGGCATGCACCCCTGCTCTTTTGAAGTGAGCATTAGTGTTTATTTAATATTGTAACTCAAATGTTCTTAGTAACAATTTACACAATGCTATCAAATAAGCACTTATTTGTTTGTTTTCTTTGCTTTCCCTTTCTAAAGGAAAAGGTCAGGCAAGTTTCCTGGGGTGTTAATCCGACAAAGGTTGCAGAGTTT